CCTTTCTTTCTCCATTTCTTCCTATCCCATAAAACTGAACACATCATAATAATGACAAACTTCTACGACTCAATATACTCAAAATGAACAAGATCGTCGTACCTTCGACCTGTAAACGACATACTCTTGCGCTTTATCAGCATAAAAAATATATACTTTTCCAACAAAACACAAGAACACGAGGTAGAAAGAGATAAAGATGTGTTAGCCCTAAAACAAGGTCGAAATAATTCATTCGTATACTATTAACTTATCAGTCAAGTTCACGTCACTAAACATCAAAACCTAACAAATGATACTCAAAAACACGACGGTATCCATGATAATAACGCTCCCATATCTCAATACTTTATCAAATATACACCAGGTGAAACTAGGAATAGTAGATAAAAAATGACAAAATGAGATTCATCACTAGCTGAAAACTGGCTGCCTGGGAGTCGGTGCGTAGGAAATGTGGATTGTGAATAGAATCTGCCAGCCTCGATAGATAGACACCATTATTAAAACTCAAATAAAAAACGCATAAGGGGTTGTGCAGTCAGTGGCTAAGTGCCACTGACATCAAAAGAAGCCCTTCCTGATATATATATAGAAAAAATGATTTATTCTATATTAACAAAAAAATAAAAAAATAAAAAAAATATCATACGTCGAGCTAATGGGATCAAAAATCGTTTCGTGTAATCAAAACAGATCATACTACTAAAATATCGAGGTTTTCATGACACATACATATGAAAAAGAAAACGAAAAAAAATAAGAGAAAAAACAATTGATACAGACGTTTTTGACATCCCATTTTCCGACAATTTAAACGACAATTTGTAGATTAAACGTCACCTATAAAAGTCATAAATTAAACGATTCACTCACGTCTGCTGTCCGACACATTTCGATTCATTTTTTCAGTCGCTTCTCTCTCTATGTATCCTTTACTATGTATAAACAAAAATATTACAAAACTACCTCTGCCAAGTCTTGTCTGATTATTCTGCCTTGAATCCAACTAAACAAACACAATCAAAAGATTTAAAGTGCAGGTTGGACTCTTTTTCTTGCGGCTAGGATCTCGAATTAGCAGTACATGAATCAGCAAGCACTCTCGTTCCTCACCAAACAGAATGCCCTGGTAAATTCATTCTGTTGTTGCCGTAAACTCCACCAAGCTCCGAGGCTCTATTTTTAAGAGTCGAAATATAAGTTCTTGGGAAGTAACTACTATGAATCATGTCATTGTTTATTCTTCCAGTCCCTCGTTGACAAACAGGATACTCTCCACGACCGATGTACGCAAAACCTTCAAGAGTACTAATTGTGCAGTTTTTGGCAGTTCACAACAAACTCAGATTCATATTTCGCCCAAGGCAAAACCAGTATTCGTCTGGAAAAACACTTGGAAGATTCGCAGCTCTTTTTTTTGGGTTAAATTTACTTAGGAAGAGTGATCAATATCGTGAAATGATTTCAGGGGTAAGTAGAAGCAGTGAGTATAGAATATTTAGCTCTGACGGTTTTCTAAGCGAAAATTCAGACGATGCAATATGCTAAAATATTAAAAACACACCATGCCATCTACTTACTGTAGAAGATGATCCCCTTCAAACATACATAGATTTTACCAGTCCTACATGAAATGAAATTTCTAACCTCGCGCTGAGCCTCACTATTATCCCAAGAACATTTATATTCATCTGGAAAACCGTGAACATTTTAAAAATTKGTTCGTCCACCATCAACACACGAGTGATTCACGACGTAGTGAGTAATTTATGCTGTATTTTTGGTGATAACATTCTGCTCTTAGCAACCGTGAAAGAAGATTTAAGGTGTGAGCAAATAAACCCGTATAGTTTACAAATTGTAACTCGGCAAAATGCAACAGTTCAACATTTTCTTTGACTTTTGAGATAAATAAAATACATCTAGAATAAAGTTAATAAATATAAAAGTTGAATTGAAAAACAATGTTAAAAAATAAAAGTGCTAATGTTGAGGATTTAAATTTTCATTTATTTCCAACTCAAATGATTTACGTATCTGGAGTAAATATTGGTTTCTGAATCTTTAGGGAGTTGAAGGAATAATAAATGTGCAAATCTATGTGCAGCGATCTACGTGGACCTAATGTTTCAGTGTAACATTTTCGCATTGTCACGCAATAAATAATATTACAAAATAACATCCAAAAAATATACAAAAGTTTGAGAATATGAACTAGAAAAAAGTTCAAGGAAGAACCTAATAAGAGCTTTCTTATGAACTTTTAAATTAACCTTTTTACTGATGCGGCGGCCATCTTGAATTATGGGTTGCCGAGAGGCGTAGAAAATTTATAAACCATAGAGTGGCGGAGTTACATTTTCAAATGATTTGAAGTCTCGTTTCTTATATTGTTTCCATTTGAAAAGCGTAAAATTATATTAAAAGACATCGTGACAGCTGTGCAGTCTATAAATTTTCCAATAGTTGCCCCTTCGGCATCCCATAATGTCTTAATYAAAAAGAAAGAATTCAAGATGGTTGTCGTACCCGTAAAAAAGGTCTATTGCGAAAGAGTTGAAGTGAGAAAAGCCGAGCGACCTTAGTTCGTAAGCACGTCACCTTACGATTCAGTTTCTCAAGGGGTATAGGAAAGGCATTTTTTGGTCACTTYATACAAAAAAACTACCAACCTGAAAAAATTCAATGTAAATAATAAATCTCTTGTTTATGGATGTTTTGAATCGTAKCTATCATAAAAATACTTCCTTTTGTACCAGTGTACAAATCTATGGATATAGTCATATATGTCGTACTCGTGCAGAATCTTTCTTTTTCAAACTATTCAAGACCGAAAGGAACTATGGGCATCGCATCTTAGGGACAAATACACCAGAAGGACTTATTCTCTCTAATACTAAACTAATAACAAAATAATGTTAAATGCAGATCAACAATACAGTTTAGCCTTGGAGTGACCTGTATGTGCATATCACATATCCATTGAAAATCTTTGTTAAGAAATTGCACAAATAGAGGTTTTGCGCCATCACGTGTCGGCGTCCATAATACTGCTTGGGCTTCCTGTGGTTAGATGGCAGAATAATAAAATCCTTTGCTCTCGGGAATTGAGTTCTTTCTTATGTAAAACGATTGTATTGTTCCTGCCATCTAACATGGCTGCCGTCAAGTGATGGTGCAGAGCCTCTATTAGTAAGTTCAGTAGACCTCAGTAGACCGTAGACCTACRAAACTTTGCACAAATTTGTACAATTTCGTTAGTTAACGTTTTCACGGATATATGCATAGTGTGAGATGTTAGCTATGGTACATGGTATGCAATCTACTTTCTCCTATGTCAAATGGCTTCGACAATCACTATTGAAACAGGATTAAAGCATTATAAACATAGCTAAGTACTCTCCTATATTAGTCTTTTAAAAAACTATTTCATGTTAAAATAAGATTTTTTCCTCTCTCGCGCAATAGTTATATCTTATATCGATACAGTGATTGAAATCACTCCACAAAACTGTTTTGAGAAAGTCAAGTAAATATTCGCAATGTTATTATCAAAGCTTTAATTAAAAACATCACTAATAAAACTTCAATTCAAGGATCTTAAAATATTTACAGTACCATATCTTGTATCACGCATGATGTCATGCAATAAGACTGCAAAAAAAAAAAAAAACACTAATATCTTGGATTTATTGAGTTTCAAATCAGATTGAAACTCCTAATTTCGTTTTTTAAATTATTTCCTAGAATTACGACAATTGCGTCATTCGCAATTAATGAAACTTTTTTTAACTGCTTAAAAAGACAAGAAAGCAGTTAAAATTTTATCGAATTTGCGCTCCTTTTCAAAATCTAAGTAGTAAAAATACAGAGCTAACCTGAGTGGTGAAGAAAGAAAAGATCAGCAAGATAGTACTCTAGCAGTCCAGGTAGTTCCATTCTTATAACAAATTTCTCCAGTTACTTCAATATTTCTTCCAACCAAGGCTTACAGCATGAATATTTATACGAGTTCTAGTAACGTAAATCAAAGCTGCGCCGAACTAGTACTTAAAACGAAACGTAAATTTGTTTTCATAATCCAACTAAATGGTTCTCCATTCATTGAAGATGAAATAACCAGACGAATAATGTGGTTATTCTAACCAATCAATTCTGTATAAATATAAAGTGTTGAATTGTTTCTTGAGACTAAAGYAATCGAAGGCCGCAAATTTGCTATTTGAATGACAATGTAAACCGGGACGCCTTTGTAGCGGAGATAAACATGAATGAAATTTTAATGTCATTAGTGAAGATACGAGAATAAACATTAAAATATGGAAAAGTAGTTTCTAAATATACTACTTAACATTGGAAAATAAAAATATAACAATAATGTTCACAGAGACAAGGTTTTTGGCAATTTTTAATTAAGGAAATTAGGAAGTCAATTAGGAAAAGCAGAGCAAAGGCGCTTAGATGCCTTGGGAACTGAAAGATGGCAAGGGAAAAAATTAAATTGAAATAATCTTTTGAAAAGTTGGGGAATCAAATCTGACAGCTTACTTCAGCTAGCTTAAGATTTCGACAGGGTGCTTAATCACTAGAAATTACACCGTTTTGGTTTTTTTAATTTTAATTCAGAGTGTTATTTGAGCGGACAGTCTATTGCAACTGAAAATAAAAATGTTAGCAGAGCGAGCGCTGGTATAAATGAAAGAGGGCTTCCCTCTCATGCAAAGTTTAATACCAAACAAACCAAGAGTGTTTATTGTTGACTCGTACTGGGAGGTCGCAAAGACTCAATATCATCAATCCTTTCTTTTCTGGACGTCACAACCACGATTTTCGTATAATAAACAACACAGTCGCAACATGAATTTTCTTGTAACACTAGATTATCTGGATGAGTTGGGGGAAAGGAAAGTAAAAGAAAGGGAAAAAAACACACAGAGAAAAACATTTCTGCCTACTAATAAATGAATGTTCAACTTCTTTTTTGTCATAGCAAATGATAAAATTCTCTGAACTGACTAATTTTTCTATCGAACTGAATATTTATTGACAATTTCATCCCTTTGTTTAATCAGGATTGTTTTTATTTGGTGTTCTTGGTACTACTGTGATTACCGCCACAAAAGACATGGATTACTCAAACACCCTACCACATTTGTTTCTTATCAAATGTACATCGAATTTGTAAACATAATTACTCTGAAACCGCTAATTAATTATCCATCGATTGGACTATGAAAAAATAATAATATCACACTTACAATGGACTAAGAAAAAACAAAAAAAATCTTCAAATTTTATCGAACCCTGAAACAAACTCTTGGCTGACTAAAGGCACGAGATCGAATTATTCACAGACTGAGATTTTGTATGAATGTTAAAAGCTGGAGGTAACGTGCCGTGCCGTGACTGGACTTGCGCATTTTTAGTGGATGAACACTATTCTCGCTCGTTGTGATTGGCTCATCGAATCTTGTCAATCCTGTGTCCTGACAATGACCGTAACGCAAGCGCATTCGAATACGTCAGTGACAGCTGTGTAAAACGAAGGAGCGCAAACAAACTAACTCCATCCAAACCCTCAGTAACACAGCTAACTGAATACATTTTTCGACAGCTTTGTTTGTGTAGTATGAAAAGGTGTTCAAAACCTTATCGAAATGTTGTCGATGAAATAAGTGAACTATCCTTCCTTGTGCGCATGTCACAGAGCTAGATACATTACTTGGGATACTGTGGTAGTCTTAAAAAACGATTCCGCGACTCCCAACTATTCACTAAGGGCTCAACATTTTTGCAAAAAAGATGTTTTCTTGTAAAAAATTCCACATACTTCGATGACATTTGGCGCTGGTACATCTTCCCGCCAAGTATTGACATAGGCGGTGTCTGCGCATGCGTCAACAGGTCTTTAAATACTCCGATGACACTCCTGAGAGACTCGACTAGATAACTAACCCACTTACCTCAGACTCACTACTAGAAGATTCAGACTTCATTTCCACGTCTTTCGCCGCGCTCTTTTTCTTCGTTTTTCCACCATTTTTGCCTCCAGTTACACTTTTTCTCCCCTTCTCAGTAGGGGAAGTGGACATTGACATTCTCTTGGAGGAGAGACGTTCAGAAGACTTTGACAGCGGAGAACTCGACCGTTTCACACTCAACTTGTCTGATGATTTCTCTGGTGAATAAGATGACTTCCGTGACTGTTGCTTGTCCGGAGACAACGAAGACTTTGAAGTCTTTTTATCGGTTGGTTCAGCAGATAGCGCATCAGTAGATGACACAAGCCGTTTCTTTTGGACTATTGCTTCGTTTGATTTTGACATTGACATTCTCTTGGTGTGTAATCGGTCCTGTGTGGCCTCGGATGCTGGGCTTGGCGATGGCGGCTTCCTTGGTTTTGGTTTCTCTGGTGATTTGTTGGGAGATGACGGGCGAGAACTGTCTGTTTTCTTGGTAGGAGAGGAAGGTCGACTTGTAGTCCTGAAAAACAAAGAAACTTGTTTAAAAATTTTTTTTTACTTCATGAATCAAAACTAAAGAAATTGTTCGACCAAGAGACAGTCTCTATAGAACGAAAGAAAGAGAGGAATATAGAATATAAATTGGTGTGCTGTTTTTTACTACAATATAAAAACTAGATCCTGCTGAAATCACAGGCAGCCCAARCAAGGTTCCTGTGTATGGTTTATAAGGGAATCCATGGGAGTTATGATGTAGATATGATAATACATTGTCATATCATCATAACTCCCATACATTCCCTTTTCAACCATACACACAAACCTTGTTTGGGCTGCCTGTGCTCAAATGTACACAAAACCTAAATAAGACAGATTTCGTATGACGGAGAAAAATTCAAGTCATAGAACACGGTAACATGGTCGTTATTTTTTTTAAACCTGCACGATACGCATTTCCCCACTTYATAACTAAGCGGCTCCCCCTAGTTTACTTCATTTAAGGGATAGAAGACGAGTGCGCGTGTCTCTGTACTATGATATAGAACAAGCTGGGAGCTGTAGAGCAAGAGAGAAGGAAGCTTAGGAACACGAGGTGAAGCCGAGTGCTTCTCTTGCTTTTCGAGTGCTTTACAGCTCACAAAGTGCTTAAATCACAGTCAGAGACATGAGCAGCCGTTTCATATTTTGCGCGAGCGTGTCTCTGTCCGCTGATATAAACACGGTAGCCAGCCAATCAGCGCGCGCGTTATATCTCATATATTTTAACTTACTGTTCCTGTTGTGTGGTGGTGCTGCTGCTACCGTTACTCTTTCTTGACCCTGCTACTAGTGCTACGTCTTTGACTGTTCTCTTTCCTGGCTGACGCAGGGCTTTCTCTGCTGCTGCTGTTTCTTTTGCTTTCTTTGGAGATGATTCACCCAGAGAATCACACAACGCGGCCACATACGTCATGATGGACCTCTCGTCAGGCTTTTCGACATCCACGTCTGGAATAAAGTAAATAAGACCACTAAGAAGCATTCGATCATATTACAGGTGCTAATTTGCGCGTTAGAAATAATAACAGTATTGCTATCATTATTAAAAGTCTTCAATGTTCTTTGAGGGCAGCGCAAAACTAGTGGCTAGCAAAAACTGTGGCCCTCTTCAATGATCAAATTGGATTTTAGAACCTGGAGATAAAACCTTGAAGCACAGGAGTGAACTAACAACACTGGATCGAACCTATGTCCAGAGCGGTGGGAGACGGCGCATTAGCAGTGCACACTATCCGTGCTTCCTATAAAATACAAAGACCTAATTCACTGTTTTCCCATTTCGCACCACGTATCCTTGTATACCTTTATTATCTTATAATCGCGCAATAAAATTGCGAGACGTGTTCAATGAACATTGCCCAGCAGTCTAACACTATTCATCGCAGTAAAATTGTTTTAAAGATTTTTTTTTAACTTTGGCCATTAACCAATGGTTCTAAATTGAATATGGTTTTGATGCATATCCATCCATATTCTTGGGGTGCACCCACGTTACTCAAAATCCCTTGAGTTATAAATAACAATGAAACAGCCGCCATGTTGGTTGATCTCAAAATGGAAGCTTATGAAGAATGCTTTGTATAGCCAACCAACATGGCGGCTATGCCGAAACATGCACCCCAAAAATAGGTATCTTATTAGTTCGTCCTCAACATGAAACCACTGTTTAGAGCTCATTCAAGATAAATATGAAATATATATTTATCGTCAGTTAGGATAAGAATAATTTATTTAACGTCAATAACACAGGGAGTGGTCRCACAATCTCCCGAGCCTGGTGCTCATGTTATACTAGTGTGATTGACAACACCTCACCACATTCCCTTTCCGTGCGCAAGCTTACCTTCTGGTTCCAACAGTCTTGGGACCTTCAAGTGTTCATTCGCCAAATCGAAAGCTTCTTTCAAGTTTGTCTTGTTATCTCTTTCAGATACCCCTTCAACGTTAACTAGATCTGGTCTATAGACAACAAAATATATTGTCAGTCTATTTCATTTTATTAACTTCGCCAAGAATAAACGTAACATAAATAATTAAACAGCAACAGAAATGACGCAGGGTCCCCGCTACAGCGTAGCCAATTACTGCGGGCAAATGTGTTTGGACACCACATTTAAGTTGCGTCGGTCCAGCTTAACGCTAAATAGGGACTGCGCGCAAATTCGCGCWAATTCCACAGGCACTCCATGAAAATAATTGATCGAGAGTTGTTGGAGGCCTTTTGCCCTTTTTTCCACCCCCTCCCCCCTCCCCTACGACATTTGAGGCGAGATTCCTCCAAAGCGAGACATTTTAGGGTAGACTTGTGTCCCGTCCACACAAAAAGCACGCATGATGTGAGCTGAGCTTTGTGTGCATAGAATATTGAATGCAGTGGTAGTGCGTGTGAGCGACGTGTCCCCAATTAGTGCGAAAGCGCTAGAACGACTAGACACTTAAATAACAATGATTTTTTTATTTTTWTTTTTATTATCTCAATGTGATTTAGTTTTAACTGAATCTACACTAATACGCGCCGCAGTGTTCATTTGTTAGCAAAACTAGATTAAAATTACACCCAATCACGCTACCTGTGGGAATGAATGAGAAAAAGAAACGCCTGTCCATCTCTCCAACTCTTGCTGAAATCTTTTATTTCTTCAGCCAACCTTTACGCAAAAACAAAATGTTTAGAATATAGAATAAATGATAAAATTAGTAATGGATTTGTAAGGGATAATTTTCAAAAGAAATGTCCTGCGTTATCTTGATTTTCTGGAAAACTTTTTACTACGCATAAAAATGGTTCTTTCCAATAACTGTAAGTGCAAGATGTCCAGCGTTTTCTCCAGTATTAGAGTGGTTTTCAGTTGTAAGAGTAGAAAACATACGGCACTGACTCAGAGCACGTATACGGTATGGCATGCCGTAATTCATCCAATCACAACACGTAGTTCCAGTTAGTGCAGTTTTCGTATGACTGTGAAAAGCTCAGTGCCGTAAGCGTGACGTGTCGTGACCATGATACTTTCTAGAATTTTAATAGGCTGATTTTTTTACGCGCAATATGATTGGTCTAAAAATGCCTTGATCTTGGCGTGACCGTGTCCGCGCCGTGTTTATGCCGTGTTCCGGTTATTTGATTGGATGGAGAGTAAATTCTCGTGCAATGTGATTTGTCTGGCGTATCCCTTGCTGTGTCACGACCGTGTTCGTGCCGTGAACTTTTCACTGTCATACGAAAACTGCACTATGACAAGATACGGTACGACTACAGTACGGAACAATTTTCATGAATGAACAAAAACTGCCTTATAACTTTAACATAACTTACGGAAAAGAAATGCAATTCTTGATTTGCACGTTTTATTATGGCCGCCATATTGGTGGTATTCAAAAAATCATTAGCTTCCACTGTTAATACCGCCAATACGGCCGCCACACGTCTTTGTTATTTCACTTTTTTGGAAATGGTTGAAAGCCATCATTTAGYAATCTACTTACCCCATTACTTTTTTGGCAGCTTTCTGAGCCCATTCTAAAAGAATTTTTTTGCCTCTTGTCTTCTTTTTGGTTGCATAAAAACCTTGAATCTAAGATTCAGAAATCAAGGAAGATGTGACTAGCATCAATCATTGCTGTTAAATGAGTGAGGCCAACTCCAGGTATGTTTTCTGCTGGATGCCACCCATCAAAACCGAATTTTACCTAACTCACAGATTGAATTGGAATTTAGCTTGCAAGGCTTTCAGAATGTTTTGAAGTAGGCTTTCGTAAGTTTGAAGTAACTGGCTTTGATCCGATACAAGGAACAGAGGGTATTTTATAGGGGGAAAATCAGCCAGCGTTTAACTTTGAAGCAATTGCTGGAGCTCCAGTGGCCACAAGCTTATTCTGAAAGCCCTGGCTTGTTAGGTTATGATGAAGGACAAAAAAAAATGTTTAAAAGTCTGGCAGTTGTGGACGGTGCACAATCTCATTGAAAGCACCCAATCCATAATAATAATAAATAATAGAATAATAAATAATAAAATAATGAATAATGAAAAAATAAATAATAGGATTAACGGTGGAATCTTCCACTGGATTCCAATAATTGGAAAGTAGAATTTGGTTTTGTGGAGAAAGGAAAACTGAAGAATCCGGAAAACCCTTGAAGCACAKGAGAGAACCAACAAGCACTTCTACTCACATGACACTGAGCCCAGCGGGGTTAGAACCCAGGTCGCCTTGGTAAGAGGTGAGCACTCTCACTGATACCCCACCCTCGCTTTCCATCAATCCATTTAGGCATTTTAGGCATACGATTACAACCAGCACGTATTTAAGTATCTTGGAAAATTGTGAAACCTAATAATGATAACTTCATCTAGATTACCTGATAATGATGAATTATAGCCCACACCAGGCCCATAGTGATGGTTGCATTACAGTCTACAATGGACTCTGCATGAACATTGACCAGTTTGACCTGTTAAGATGGGGAAAAATAATAATACATTACTCATTCATATGTAACAGGATTTATCCATATAACATGTACATCAATAGTCCCCTTCAAAGTTCCCTGCGTCATCTTGAAAAGTAGCCATGCCTTTGYATCGAAGCAAGACGAACGGTGAGCWTGCAATGATAGAGACCTTTTTAAAACACCTTGAACAATTATTCACATGTCTCTATCATTGCAAGCTCGCCGTTCGTCTCGCTTCGATGCAAAGGCACGGCTACTTTTCAAGATGACGCAGGGAACTGTGAAGGGGACTATTAAGTAGTAGGAAGTTGCTCATTACAATTTGGTTTTTCACTGCCACCAATCAAAAATGTAAAAGGTGCAGACTGATTATTTTTGATTTGTAACAGTCAAAAACCATGTAGTTCACAGTTATGAGCTTCTATGATATTGAAATCTGCTAAAACTGAATATTGGCTGGATTTATGCATATATAGTGACTTAAATATGAATGGTAACATATAAACTTGTAGCAAGTGTACAGAATATAAGCCATCTACTTTGGTACCTGTTAGTTTAGAGGGTCTTATATTTTTTGCCAAAATAACATTATTAATGTGCTTACATTCTTAGACTTCAAAAACTGAATCACTCGTCCAACATTGGCCAGTTGATGGAGTCTCTGGTTGCCTTTTTCCTTTAGCTAAAAAAAATTGGATGTTAAGAAACTACTTGAGTAACATGAATCATACATCAGTCCATTAACAGCTAGCTAGATCTAATAGTACAAGTAGATGCCTCAGAGACAGCACCAGTAATCTATGTGAAACTGTAATCATTTACGTCTGCAGGGGCAGATCAAGGATTTTTAAAAAAGGCTGTTACAGAGTACTTCATACCAATACCACAGCTAACTCTTTTGAAAAGAGTGAGAAAATGGTGAAAATGGCAATTCAATTGAGGGACATTATATTTGAGAGCTTCAAATAAACCAAATGAATGTTTGGTAATCATGTACTTCATAACCAGCCTAAACATGTCAGTTGACTGACGCCCAACTGTCGGCTAAGGTTTGACCAACATACAGCCAATGTTCGGCTGATAGTGAGTAGGTTTAGTAAAACCCTTTTTTGGGTGGGGGCAGTCGCTCCTGAAGCAATTGAGTGAGAAGGTACATATATGGCTGCCATATGAGAAATATGCAATGTGACATAAATAATTACTGACCATTTTTTCACCAGATAGCACTTGAAGTAATGCAATCAAGCGTGTTCCATCTTTTAAATCAGTCAATAAGTCTTGTACTTGGTTAGGTGGCTTCAGCTATGAAAAAAACATTTAAGGTTATAAACAAGATAAATTAACAGCGCAATGAGTGCTAATATGGCCATGTATGAACCCAGTTATTATTTTACAACCAGTCAGAGAACACAAAAAAATAATGAAAATAGAATAAATGTCTCTATAGGGGCTTTGCACCATTACATGATGGCAGCCATGACAGGAGGCACAATAGAGTTGTTTTCACCTGGGAAAATGAAATCTTTCTCAAGTAAATCAAATTAGACCAGATTCAATTGTTCCTGCCTCCTGTCATGACTGCAATCACGTGATGGTGAAAAGTCTCTATATAATTGTGTTGTCTTTCTAGTGCTTTCACACTAATTAGAGACAATTATGACTCTTCCACACTACCATTTAAGGTAATACCCTTGAAAGAAATTTTTCCAATAACTTTGTCCTGAAACTTTGCATGGACATTAATTATGTTATGGACATTTAAAAACTGCAATAAAAAGATGGGGTCACCATTCTCGTTTTTTCGCTAGATGCTCTCCAAATGTGTCAATTTATGGGTTTTATAGTGAAATGTGGTAGCAACCGGAAGCTGTAATCAGGAACCTTTATTCACAGTTAAAAGTACTTTTATATAACAAAACGTACTTATAACTCGAAGTTTACTAGATAATCTATGCTATTTAATCCATCGAAGTAATTGGATGACTACGATTCTTGAACTATTAGTGAAAGATGCAGTTATGTGCACCTCTACGAAAAGTCCAAAAATTGCACAATCATGTCAACTATTCCCATCAAAATATTTTCAAAACCTAGCCAATAAACTTTTCTTCATATTTTGATATTATGTAATGAAGAGCATCGCATTTATCAAAAATCTGAAATAAAAAATGGGGTTCACCATTATCATTTTTGATTTATCTCAAAATAGTCGAAAACTAAAACTTTTCTGAGTGGAGACTGGGGTGAGTCAGATAAAAATCGTTATTTCTATACTCAAAAACGAGAAAAAAATGAAAATTGGCTTTGAACATCTTTCTTATTTAGTTTCCGAAAGAAAAATGCCTAAACTTCGTTAGTTCCATGCTTTAAGTTGCATGTGCAGAAAAATGCACACTGCATTAATTCAATGTTAAATGCACACAACGCTCAACTCACATGTTGATTAGACTGTGAGCAATCCCTTGGTCACTGTCCTTCTAGCTGTCCATGAAAAATCCCTCATAATCAATCTTCCTCTGCCAATCAACACGGACAGACAGACGGACAGTGACCAAGGGAAATAGTCTGAGGAATTGCTCGCAGTCTACATGTTTTCAAAGAGGGAGAAAACTGGAGAACCCARAGAAAACCCTCATAGCATAGGAGAGAACAACACATCAACCAAACTCAAATATCATAAGTTGTCCACGCAGTTCAAATCAGTGACCCAAAGCTTTGGAACCACAGTAGTAAAAGACGATGTAGTAGCAGCATACAGCACCCATGGTACCCTACCATAGGAACTTTTTTAACAAAACCACCCTTTCTATGAGTCAGCAAACAGCATTGGCAATAACAATGCATGAGTATACTTAAAGAAAATAAATCTTTGAAACTTATAGCGYAGCRCAACCGTGACGTCATAAAAACGAAGACAAAGGTGAAATTCGGACAAACAAACTTACAAGTTTACTGTCAGCAGATAATTTTCACAGCCGATCGCAGTTGATCTTAGTTTACATGGGTTATTATTGTAACTTTAAGTAAAAAAAATAAAATCGGTTCGTATAATCCTCGTAGCGGTTAAACAGAATGCAATGTTTGTCYGAATCTTTAAGCTATTTTTAGAATCAGTGCGCTGCGCTATTTCACATTAATAAGCCAAAATAAAATAGAATTTATACAAACCCAGAAACAACTTTTAAGAGGTTTTAATCAAGACTAGTCCACATATCAAATTTGGAATTTAACTGCTGTATGAGTTGTAAGACAGCAGTGTAGATATAATATTCTTTAGCAAATCCAGGTTAAAAATGAACAATCTATACAAACCTTGCAGAGATAGAAATTTATCCATCTTGTGAAGGTACGCTTCTGAATTTCTACTTGCTCATCTGTGAACAAAATTATATACATATTTTATTATACATATTTTWAAAATATTATCTCAAGAAAATATGCTTTGCTCAATATTAGTGCTTAAGCCTTTATTTATTTGATAAATGGCTTATTCCAATTCCAAACAGACCTCTTAGGTTGGGTGAAATAATTGTTTCCCATTAAAATCATGTCACTCTCTTCAGAATAACATTTTTTGTTTGAGCTCATTTTTTTGTATAAATTGGGGAAACATTTTGCCTAAGTAAAATGGCCTATTCCTAGCTGTGTCCATCAAGCACAAGCAATAAATAAAAATTATTTTGTTATATATTTTGTTCCAATGAACGATACCTATTTTAAGGCAGGCACTAAATTGGCTTTCCATTAAAAGAAAACCATTGCAGTGCACCATCTAATTTAGGAAACCATTTAAGTGTTGCTAAAAGTATTTCTTGAAAAAATTAACTAATATGTGAATTTATGTAAAGAAAAATAAGTATCTTAAATTCATAAAGAATTAATTAGCAAAAATTAATTAACTATATTAGAAACAGGAAATAAACTTTGTATTAATTTCCTCAAAATAAAATATAGAGAACAGACAAAAAACACTAAAAGAAAGAAAATCTGAATAAAAAAAACAAAATATATTTTTCATTGTTATCTGTGGACTCCAAAATGAGCTTTTAGTGATTGGATTTTTTTTTTCGTTTCCAACTTTTGACTTTTATTATTTTTTCTCCCTCTCAGACATTCCATTCTCATTCAAATTTCCTATACACCTGATATAAACTTATTAATTCATTCAGCATTATAATATGTACTAGACAGTTTATTATTTTTGTTTTTGTCACTTTTTGCCATCACAAAATTATTTTATTTTTTTCCAAGTTAGTTAACTAGTTTTAATTTATATCTGTGTGATTTAAGAGAAGAATATAATTTTCTAAAATAAATCGTCATTGATTCTATGAAGAAAAGAAAAGCGATGATAAATTTTGAAGTTGTTCAAGTTTTTTGGCTTCTTTTGTTAACTTCTTACCAAGTATTTTATTTTTTCTATAGTTTTAAATTTCAAACCTTTATAAGAAAAATGAGAAATAAAGCTTTTTGAGCGAACAGGGCTTAAGTTGAAATTAAGGGGAAGAATACAGTTTGATCTCTTCAACTAAGACATAAACAAAACCACGAAGGACAGCTGGTTTAAGACGGACCTTCGCTTACCGGGTAATAGAAAATCAGTATCAAAAGTTATATTTTGTAACGCTCATATTGACTAAGAATGTAGAAGATAAGTTTTTCGATCGAGAGTATTTCTCGCACGTGTAATTTTAGAATGACTTGGAGTGACTTTGAGTAAACATTGTTATAATTCAACATATATAACTCACCGGATAACGCTTGGATTTCAGACAAGAGTGTGTCAGACGACGCCGATAAAGACTCTTTCTGTATCTTTAATGACGAGCCATTTCCTTTAGACGGCGAAGGGGTTCGCGAGGAAGAACGAGAAGTCGTGCTTGGCGCTTTCGAAGAGGACGCCATCTTGGTTTCCTTCGCTACCACTAAATGTAAYTCAAAACGATGGATATCTGTCCGAGATTGAGCTTTTCCTTCACAGTTGGACGTCTAGCTACCTTAGAAACCATATTTCTAAGCATTCATAAAAGTAAATTAGCGTTTATGAGAGTATAGTGGGTAATAAGAAGCTGTGTTCTGAAATCACTGGTTGTTGCTGTGCATCATACATGACATCACGAAGCCGCAATGCCAGTTACGCGGGAATCGCGTTTCCTCGCTCCCAGAGTGCATGCTAACCTATTACCACTATTTATATCGGTTATCGAGATATTAAAAGCTCATTATTATCATCATGCTATCACAATTCAATTTCTAGTTTGTCGATGTTAATTTATTTTAAATCCACGTTGAATTTACTGAGTTCACAAAACAATTTGTACAAAATAGTGAGTTTTGAGTAACTATGACGACTTGTCAAGATAGATTAGCACCAAGGCACTAACTACGACTTGAGTGATGCTGTCATCGCAATGATTCAAAATAGCGTGCGAGGAATCATTTTTAAAGAAGATTATTAGTGCAAGATGTGAACTGTAATCTAAAACACTGAACAATAAGTAATTTCTTTATAAAAAATTATCGTTAATCGACATAGCTCCAAAAACTTCTCATCCTTACCATGCCACCTTGTTATTTCCTTTATGTTRCAGAATCAATGATTTTATTATAGGCAAACCTGCAAACTGTGGCCTCTACTGTGATTTTTCTCTCACAAAATTCATTGTTTTTCTTGTAAATTGTTAGAATTCTGGGGGCTTTCCTATCGGGATACTGATTGGATTTCACAAGACAAAGAAAACTGAGTTAGCAAAGTTTCCAGGGCAAACACTTTACATAACAATAACACAAGACAGTCAACAGAGCTTAGTTACATGTTCATTTACGTAGCGTTGTAAACAAGGCTAAAAATACTATTATAGTTCAAATATAAGAGTTACTAAACTGTCTCTTTAAATGACCTCGACTAGCCCTTTATTTAAATGGTGACCGATACACTTGCAAAGATGCTGTTGAAAATGACAGCTCTCTGCTTATGAAATACCGAACATAATAGTTGAGTGTAACTATCATCGTGAAAAACAAAATATTGTAGTCCAGCATCTACCAACTTAAAAAAGCAGGGCCGTAGCAAGGTTAATAATATTGGGGTTTATATGACAAGGTAATTTCACGCGCTTTGATTGGTCAATTTGCGGTCYATAACTTACGGTACGGACCGAAAAATGAAATGGTTCACTGAGTGTACGTACTTATGATCTTTTAAAACATTCAAATCTTTATCAAGAAAATATATTTCTGGATGAAAATCGTCGGAAAACCTTCAATAAATATTTAAAGATAACTGAAAGTCACTGACATTTAATGTAAAACTTATCAAACAAGCGACAACTCTTTCATACAAGCGAAACTCTTTCGATGAAGGCTCTACACGGCACTAGTTGAGAGATTTTGTACGACTAGAAAAAACTAGAAAAACTAACTATGCTAAAGCTAAAACTATGTCAAACTACGAACTAAAGGGTGGTGAACAGCGGCTAATTCAGTAAATGAAATAAAGATAGGTTTACCGTAGAATTAACGTAAATTTGTTATTTCAGTGAGCTAACAACGTCCAGTTTGAACTTATGTGAATCGATCGGGTGAAGAAGCCAGTAGTTTCTTTCGTAAACGTTTTAAGCAGTTTTCTAGGCTCATCCGCTCTTGAAGT